TTTATGGTGTCTTGCAGACAAACGTCCTTAGAAAGTCAATCACCATTAAAGTCCATGTTGCAGAAGAGGGTGTATGGCCTAACAGAGGTGAAACGTTGCTCGAGATACATTGTTGCTTAGAATAAGAAGGTTATTTCCTTCCACCTGTTCCGAAAGGGAGAGTCGGGGTGATCATTCTGCAACAAGAATGCTGAAAAGATTTCCACCATCACTTCCAGACTTCAGAACGCTGAGCTGACATGGTCATAAAAAGAATCATTCGTTTTGCTTCATTGCTTTTCTTTTTTCGGTTGAGTTTATGATTTCATCAGCCTCAGCTCATCTTCAGCTCATTAGCCCTATCGCTACTTCATCTCCCCTTCCAAATTCTTCTCAGCCATTGCTACCTATCGCCTCAATTCTGAATGGTTTGCTTTGCTGATACCTTCTTAATGAGACGTCAGAATAGAGCTAGTACCGAATACGTGGCTCATACAAAAACTGCTTTCTCAAGCCGATCCGGCCCCCTGTGCGCTTTGAGATAGGTATTGATTTTGCGCGTGTGGCGGTATCGCGCACACTCCACCAGGGGCATACGCTGTCGAGGATGTAGGAAGCATGACAAAGTACGAGGGTTAGGAACTCAGACATCAGTGTGTGGATTGGCATCTACTTTCGCATAACCTTTACGCTTTGGCTTTTCTTGCTCTTAACCGGATTTATGATATATAGGTATATCTGTGTGGATATTTGTGAAGTACAGGTAGAATATGTATGAAATCAGCATTTTAGCTTGAAAAGGAGGACCAGTTCCGGTTCCTTGAACAAAAACGACAGTGATGATGGTGAAGTAACGCTCACGAAAAGTGACGTCGTGCTCACCTTCAACATGGAGGTACATTGATTGGATGTAAATTTGCATTTGATTCAATGCTAGGACTCTGAAAAACTCACTTCGTGTTATGCCATTGGGTAAGCCTAGAGCTGAAGGGAATCCAATACCCCATTTTGACAACGGTGATTGGAACCCATGCCGATTGTATGTCATGGCAATGTTTGTACTGTACCCCCAAACTTGGACGGACCATAATTTTCCCCTCATACTAATGTTTTAAACTCCTATGAACCTAATTTTGTGTACGATTGTCTGGCAATGAGTATTTAAGGTTGTCGTAATGGAGGTGCAAGGCTTGAAAGCGATCGCACCGAATCGAATCGTCTACTGTACGATGGAGGTGGATGGGCACAAGCTACAAACGGATCACGCCGAAGCACAACGACCATCGTACTCTTTTCGTCTCATTTCTCCCCTCTTCGAGAGTTTTTCTAAGGTTCACTCAATTTTCAACATTCTAGCTGGGACACGCAAGGGGACTTCTCGACGAAAAACCCATTGCCTGTTGTAAAAGTGAAGTTATACTCGGTGGTGAAAAGTATAGTCTCCTTCGAAGACAAGGAACTTGGAAAGGTAGGAATCCGATTGATGACAGTATTTCCCTTTACTGAGATTATTTCCTTCCAGGTGATCATCCAACCGACTCCCAACTGCTCCCGATCACCTGAGTGGTACACTATGACGGTGCCGAAAAACAGCCCCGATCAGCATCTAAAGATCCGAATAGCGATTCGAGTAGAGAAACCACCAAACCTCAAATACTGTGGCTATTGCTATTGTATGGGGCGGATGGCATGGAAGAAATGGAAGCGACGGTTTTTTTGCCTGGTCCAAGTGAGTTTTGTTCCAATTACGCAGCTGTAGAGAAGTATAAGAAACTATTTTCAATGCTCCTAGCTAGAGAGCTAGAGGATGGAATCTAAATGTCATGGTCAGCTACCAAGCCGGGATTCCATCCCCTCATCATACAAGACCACTCAACTTGATTTTTATTTAGGTATCCCAGTATGCTTTCGCGGTTTGTAGTTTTCGGCAAAAAAAGTCGGATCCGACAGAATTCGTTCAAGTCGATGGCTTCACTATCGACTATATGCCTGAGCCGGATTCAGGTTGTTCAGACCTTATTTAGACTCATTTCTTACATCCAAGTCTTTTCGAATCAAACGGCATACAAGCGAAAAAAATCCTCCTATTAGAAACAGTAGGTATACAGCTTACTTGAGTAGTTATATTTTTAGAAAATTTTTTCGGCAGTTTGTATGTTTTCTTCCCAAAATTGGACCATTTTACAACTTTCCCTGGTAGAGAGCTCGAACAGCACAAATCTGATGTTCCTCTGTAAAAGTTCTGCACACGAGTAGTTCAGTATGTTTTAATCGCGAGGTTGTGGGTTTGGAGATGTGGGCGTCAAAGGAGATTTCTCAATTGGACTATGAAGGAAGAAGACTAAAATTTGGCTGTTGTCCCGACTGGTAGATCTGAGCTGTCTCAAAATGGTCGTAAACCTGGGGAGGTGATAGGAAGTGTACTGTCTTCCTGGGGAGACGGGCAGTAGGAACGGTTTTGTTTAATCGCTTTGCCGCACACGGCTGTCGCGAACTTCGTTTCGCCGTTATTACGGCTCTACCGTTCTTCACACAGCTCGGTTGCGACGCGATTATTACTTTTGGCATGATTCTACTGTTAGTTCTTTTGTTCCTGTATTTCTTACTTGCTGCTGCATTCTGCTACTCGTCGCGCGCGGCGTCCCCCTTGCCGCGACGCGACGTTTTCGTTCCTACTGCACCACATCCGTCGTTCTGTTACCCCGTTGACCTCTGCTCTTTATACTTTTTTGCCGAACAAACATTCAGCTGAACTCACTGGCTAACGTGCTCCCTTAAACGTTTAGACTAACGCTTGGAGTTATTTATTTTGTATGCTTCCATTTGTTAGAAATACTCTTTTCAGAACTCGCCGCTCTAGGTGGAAAACACTTTTTCACTGCCATCAAAGAAGGGGACGAGTTAAAATTTGCAACTGACGACGAGAACGAGCGGCACTTATGGGTCCAGGTCAGCAAATTTTCCAAAGAGTCTCAAAAAACTACCGCCCTCACGGAGATTTCTTGCGGTCTTGGTTTGAGTGTTAGACGTAAACATATTTAGGCTTTATACCGAGCTACTGGGCAGGCTTATAAACCTGTGCCCCCAAAGCAATCCACGGTAGCCCCTAAGGCACAAGGGTTTCAAGATAAGGCCAGCAAGCATGGCTTGGACGAGATCATCCTGGTAGGTATATATTCATATTTTTGAACTTTAAGAGGAATTCATTCTATTGTTTAAGGCAGACCCGATCAGCTTCAATCAAGATCACCTGTTCGCGGATATCCAAAGGCAAACCCTGAATTTCCGGATGAACGAGCCAATCTGTTCTCTAGTAGGTCTTTATTCATTCCATCAAATCCGCATACGTTACATTTCCATGTTTTCAGGGTTGGTTCTCACCGGGGCAAGTGTTTGTGCTGGACGAGTATTGTGCTCGGTATATGGTTCGAGGGTGCTATCGTCATGTTACGTTGCTCTCGAATCTGCTCGACAAAGCTGATCAGGGCCAACTGATCGACCCAACCCTTATCCACTATTCCTTTGCGTTCTGCGCCAGTCATGTCCATGGCAATAGGTAAGAACAACCGACAGCCTTCAACACTTGAACTCCGTGCCAAACCACTTCGCACATCATATTTTGACTTTCTTCCGTTCCAGTAATAGGTTCTGGAGACCTGAAGGTTTATCCCTGTTTTGCTGTGGAACCTTTCCTTTTTGAAAACAAAGATACTGTTCTACGATTGAGCTTTTAAACGATTCGTTCATTCTTACGTCATTGACGCTTTCGTGCTTTTGCGACGCCACAGTCTCAAGAGAACCTCAAGCTGCTGACCCTTTCAGTGCGGTTCTGCCATGACAAAGTGTAGGTACATCGGCCTGTCAATGTTGCTGATGTTCAATTATCTCGAGAAAATTAGCCCTCCAAGGTTTGCTCCTGATTAGACAAGTCGTCCCGCACTCCCCTTTCCTTGTCCCCTTCGTTCCTCATTTCTTCGGAAAATTAAAGTTCCTTCGTTCATCAAGCTTGATTCTCTTTTCTACTCGCATTTATTGATAAATTCTAATCCCCCACTTTCTAGCAGTCCTCCCGTCACATGATAACGAATTCTTTCAGGCCAGACGGTGTCGGCACAGTCACGTTAGAGGAGAAAGAAAAATTCCAAGAAATCAAAGAACGACTACGGGTATTATTGGAGAAGCAGATTACCAATTTTCGGTAAGCTTCTCACTCAAAAAGCCTATTCATAAATCATTTTCTGAGCGCTTGCGCATTTAACGTAAAACGGTATCGTTCGCAATTCCTGACACTAGCGCGGGCGGCTAGCATAACCAGTTGACCGGTGGACGAATTTGACTGTGCTTTTGATTTACCATGATCTCCTAATACCATCATGGTAGCCTTTATTAAGTAAGATCGCTAATTAAATACTATTTCAGGTACTGCTTCCCATTTGGTCGTCCTGAAGGTGCTCTAAAGGGAACATTGTCACTTTTGGAAAGGGTATGTGGGAAATTTCTACCAGTTTGCTGCCTAGAAGTTTGCTTAATGGGTTTTTCAGGTACTAATGAAAGATGTTGTTTCACCTGTACCGCCGGAAGAGGTACGGGCTGTTATTCGTAAATGTCTCGAGGATGCCGCACTCGTCAACTATACACGGATATGTAATGAGGCGAAGATTGAGCGTAAGTGAACATTTGTACAAGCACTTAGCAAGGTTTCCCATAGCTATTAAAGTGGTACCTCATGGTGCCAAATAAATTCTGTCCTCGAAAGTTTGGATATAAATAAGGAGGCGCCATTGTTATCACCGTACTGGTGAGTCTAAGACGGTGCCAGGGCCTCTTGCAGCCAAGCTCTGCCCTCCTGCTAATAACGAATGAAGCAAAGCTGTTCAACTTTTCTTTCTTATGAGGGACGCTTTCTCTTCACGATTTTCAGCGCAGTACATTTGTTCTACTCAATCTGCGAAAAAAAAAACACGAAAAAATAAAAAAAAAGGAAATTAAACGCAGAGGCCAGTGTTCCTTCT